ACCAAAAAACTGTTAGAACTGATCCATGAATTCAGCAAAGTCACAGGGTATAAAATAAACGCACAGAAATTGGTTGCATTCCTATACACCAATAATGAAGCAATAGAAAGAGAAATCAAGGAATTGATCCCATTACAATTGCACTTAAAACCATAAACTACCTAGGATATCTAACCAAAGAGGTGAAAAATCTAAACACTGAAAACTATAAAAAGCTTTTGAAACAAATTGAAGAAGACACATAAAAAAATGGAAAAATATTCCATACGCTTGGATAGGAAGAATACTGTTAAAATGTCAATACTACCCAAAGCAATTGATAATTCAATACAATAGCTATTAAAATAACACCAGCATTCTGCACAGAGCTAGAACAAACAATCCTAAAATTTGTATGGAACCAGAAAAGACCCTGAATAGCCAAAGCAATCTTGAAAAAGAAAACCAAAGCTGGAGGCATCACAATTCCAGACTTCAAGCTGTATTACAAAGCTGTAATCATCAAGACCGTAAGGTACTGGCACAAGAACAGACACTCAGATCAATGGAACAGAATAGAGAACCCAGAAATGGACCCACAAATGTATGGCCAACTCATCTTTGACAAAGCAGGAAAGAATATCCAATGGAATAAAGACAGTCTCTTCAGCAAGCAGTGGTGGGAAAACTGGACAACAACATGCAAAAAAATGAACCTGTAACACTTTCTTACACCATACACAAAAACAAACTCAAAGTGGATGAAAGACCTAAATGTAAGACAGGAAGCCATCAAAATCCTGGAGGACAAAGCAGGGAAAAACCTCTTTGACCTTGGCTGCAGCAACTTCTTTCTCAAAATGTCTCCAGAGGTAAGGGAAACAAAACCAAAAAATGAATTCTTGGGACCTCATCAAAATAAAAAGTTCCTGCATTAGCAAAACTAAAAGGCAACCGACAGAATGGGAGAAGATATTTGCAAATGACAGATCAGATAAAGAGTTAGTATCTAAAATTTATAAAGAACCTATCAAATTCAACAGTCAAAAAACAAATAGTCCAGGGGCACCTGGGTGGCTCAGTCAGTTGAACGTCTGACTTCGGCTCAGGTCATGATCTTGCGGATTGTGGGTTTGAGCCCCGCGTCGGGCTCTGTGCTGACAGCCAGCTCAGAGCCTGGAGTCTGCTTTGCATTCTGTATCTCCCTCTCTCTCTCTGACCCTCCCCTGCTCAAGCAGTCTCTCCTCTCTCTCTCTCTCTCTCTCTCTCTCTCAGAAATAAATTAAAAAAAAATAGTCTAGAGAAGAAATGGACAAAAGACATGAATAGACACTAGACACTTCTCCAAAGACATCCAGAAGGCAACAGACCCATGAAAAAATGCCCAACATCACTCATCATCAGGGAAATACAAATCAAAACCACAATGAGATACCACCTCCTACCTGTCAGAATGACTAACATTAACAACTTAGGCAACAACAGATGTTGGCAAGGATGTGGAGAAAGAAGAACACTTTTGCACTGCTGGTGGCAATGCAAACTGGTGCAGCCACTCTGGAAAACTGTATGAAGGTTCTTCAAAAAATTAAAAATAGAACTACCCTATGATCCAGCAATTGCACTACTAGGTATTTACCCAAGGGATACAGGTGTGCTGTTTCAAAGAGGCACATGCACCCCAATGTTTATAGCAGCACTATCAACAATAGTCCAAGTATGGAAAGAGCCCGAATGTCCATCGATGGATGACTGGATAAAGAAGATATGGTGTGTATATATATACAACGGAATATTATTTAAGGTTTCTTAAAGCCTTGTTACTTTTTTGTCTCTCATTATATTGAAGGCATGCCATTTACTAAGTATGAGAAACTCTGTGCATTGAAAAGCTGATTACAGATTTTGTGTACATGAGCAATGTTTTCCAACTGTCATGTTGGCTATAGGTTAATTAAATATTGAGTTAGGCATTATGATGTGGAAACTCCCAACTGTGAAAACTTGGAGGTCTTTTTCTGACACCATTCAATTTCTTTAAAAATTTTTTTTTAATTTAAAGGTTATTTATTTTGAGAGAGAGAGAGAGAGAGGAAGAGAGAGGGAGAGAGAGAGAGAGAGAGAGATCATGAACAGGGGAGGGGCAGAGAGAGAGAATCCCAAGCAGGCTCTGCACTGTTAGTATAGAGTCTGATGCGGGGCTTGAAGTCATGAAGCATGAGATCATGACATGAGCCAAAACCAAGAGCTGGATGCCTAAATGACAGATCCACCCAGGCTCCCCAACACCATTCAATTTCTTTAAAAAAAAAAAAGGGTTTTTTGTTTTTTAGGGTTTTTTTGGTCTAGAATGACATCTTATTGCTGAATGGTCAGCCAGCAGAAGGTGCGTGTACATGTGTTTTTCCCCCTGGTCTTTATTCAGAATTTTATTTACCCACCTCCTCTGTTTTGGGGCCCTCATTTCATCCCTTCCCTCTGTATACTGTGTATCAGCACTCCAAGCTTCACCCTTATCCTGCTGCATCAAGGAAAACCATAGGCTCAAACTGGAATCATTTGGGCCAGGCTAAGTCACCAAACTGGGGCTTAATTCCTAACCTAACTGCAGTTTCAACCTCCCGTAGAAATAGGTCTTCACCTGCCAATCAGAAACTGGACAGCACCAGTGAGATAATCTATCACATGGGCTCTCCCATTCCCCCAAAGGAGGATGAGGTAATCAACCTAAAAGTGTTCCTTGCCACCCTTTTGCACTGTTGGTGGAATGCAAACTGGTGCAGCCACTCTGGAAAACAGTACAGAGGTTCCTCAAAAAATTAAAACTAGAACTACTGTATGACCCAGCAATTGCACTACTAAGTATTTGTCCAAAGGATAAAAAAATGCCGATTCAAAGGGGCACATGCATCCTGGTGTTTATAGCAGCACTATCAACAACAGCCAAAATATGGAGAGAGCCCAAATGTCTGTTAGCTGATGAATGGATAAAGAAGATGTGGTAGATATATACAGTGGAATATTACTCAGTAATCAAAAAGAATGAAAGCTTGCCACTTGCAACAATGTGGATGGCACTAGTATTATGCTAAGTGAAATAACTCAGTCAGAGAAAGATAAATATCATATTATTTCAATCATATGTGGAATTTAAGAAATAAAACAGATGGACATAGGGGAAGGGAAGCAAAAAATGAGATAAAAAGAGAGGGAGGCAAACCATAAGAGACTCTTCAATACAGAGCACAAACTGAGGGTTGCTGGCAGGGTGTTGGGTGGGGGGATGGGCTAAATGGGCAAGAGGCATTAAGGAGGGCACTTGCTGGAATGAGTACTGGGTGTTAATATCTAACTGATGAACCACTAAATATTATTCCAGAAATTATTATACTACATGTTAACTAAAAATATTAAAAAAATTTTTTTTAATGTTTATTCATTTTTTTTGAGAGAGAGAGAGAGCAGAGTAGGGGCAGAGAGAGAGAGGGAGACACAGAATCCAAAGCAGGCTTCAGGCTTTGTGCTGACAGCTCAGAGCCTGATGCAGGGCTTGAACCCATGAACTGTGACATCATGACCTGAGCCAAAGTTGGACACTTAACCAACTGAGCCAACCAGGCACCCCTAAAAAAATTTTTTTTAATAAAAATAAAAAGGTCCCCTGCCCTTCTCCCTAAGTGAAGATGACTATGCCTGAAACAATCCTTTCTTCTTTTGCTAATAACTTCCTTGTCCTGTCTTCTTTTTTTTTTTTTAACTAAAATATAGTTAATATACAATGTTACATCAGTTTCAGGTGGACAACAGTGCTATCCATTATACTATGCTCACCACAAATGTGGCTACCATCTGTCCATACAGTGCTACTATAATATCACTGACTGTATTCCTTATGCTGTGCCTTTTATTCCTGTGACATATTCATTCAATAACTGGAAGCCTATATCTCCTACTCCCTTCAACCCATTTTGCCCATCCCCTGCCCCATCCTCCTTTTCATAGAAAGCTTCCATTCTGTACAACTCCTTAAAACTCCCCTTTGCCTACTACATGGGCTGCTGCCCAATCCACGAATCACTTAATAAAGACAATCAGATCCTCAAATTTACTAAGTTGAATTTTGTTTGTTAACATCACTCATCTTCCATCTATATTCCACTTTGCAGGATTTTGTTGAAATCTCTTGCCTCCGATGGACTCTCCTGCTCTTGTTATGGGTTTATATTTTCTTTTCATTCCTTCACCATAATTTTGGTGAAATCTTGAGGAGAGGAGATAAGTACATGTATTCAAATTACCACCTTTAATCAGACTGCTTAATTTCAAAAGTGTTTGTGTTACAAACTCCCCCTCTAAATTTGGTCTTATGAATGGTGTAAATTTTCTAGAATATTAAAGAAGTCTTTCTGTATATTATGGGAGTAAGATTCAGATAACCTTGGGTAGGTTAAAGTATCCTACTGAGTAATCTGGACAAGGAGAAAGTACTAGAGATTCTTAGGGCAGTGTGAGATAAACTCTTTCTTCATGACTTCAGAGGTCTGGTTACTCATTTACAACTGGGATAAGATAAATGTTCAAATAACTAGAGAAGTTCTATAAACCACTTGTGAACCACTTGTGAAGTTTTTATTCTACTACTGAACCATGTTGCCGTAAACATTCAGTTACCTCTAAACTCCCAACATCTGGAAGAAAACAAGCTGTGGCATCACCCAGCTACCCCTCCTATGTCCTACTCACTCCCAAAGAATTTCCCCTTTGAGTGACTAGAACATTGGCTGCTTACTCACACCAGACTCCTCAGGATTGGCTGGGACTGCAAATAAAACACTGTTTGCGGTGACCTATAGTCAAGTTGATAAGCTTGAACATAAATGCACACAAATTCCCAGTCTTAAAATATAACATGAAGCACTTGCTATCTTCTTTCCTCCTATTATTTTCATGTGAGACGTGGAGAATAAACATTGTCCTTGATCAAAAGAAAAGGTCTTTGAAGAGAGAAAAAAACCTCTAAGATGGGTCTACTGAGTTCTAAAAACCCCAAAACCAAGCAAGCCCAGATTCTCCTTCTGGGACTTGACTCAGCTGGGAAGTCTACCCTCCTTTACAAATTGAAGCTTGCTAAGGATATCACGACCATCCCAACAATAGGATTCAACGTGGAGATGATCGAGTTGGAAAACAGTCTTTCGCTCACGGTCTGGGATATTGGAGGACAGGAGAAGATGAGAACTGTGTGGGAGCACTACTGTGAGAACACGGATGGGCTGATGTATGTCGTGGATAGTACGGACAAACAACGGCTGGAAGACTCCAGGAGAGAGCTGAAGCACATTTTGAAGAATGAGCACATTAAAAATGTGCCTATCGTCCTATTAGCCAACAAACAAGATGTGCCTGGAGCTCTATCTGCCGAGGACATCACGAGAATGTTCAGAGTGAAGAAGCTGTGCAGTGACAGGAGCTGGTATGTGCAGCCCTGCTGTGCCATCACTGGGGACGGGCTGATGGAGGGGTTCAGGAAACTGACTGGATTTGTGAAAAGCCGCATGAAATCAAGAGGAGACACCTTGGCATTCTTCAAGCAGAACTGAGGTTCAAACAGTGAAAGACTTAGTGGTGAAGGTAAAAGGGTAAATTTCTTTTTCAATGCCAAGTGAGAAAAGCAAGTTGCTAAGTTAGCAATTTTTTCCTAAGATATGTTATTTCACCTAAATTCAGCTAAATAACTTAGAATAATATCTAGAAAATATTTTTGGCCAGGCATGTTAGTAAACTTTGTGGTAATGATAATTGAAAATTTTATAATTTTGTGCATGTTGGATGAATCAGAATAATCATGTTTGGGACCAAATAAACTATTGTTTTATTATTTTTATATGACTACTAGAACAAAGTTTGAGTAAAATGCTGGTAGGGTCAGCATTCTTTTAGATGGTTTCCAGCTGTTACAGTCTTGAATTTCCACCAGGCTCCTATGGAATAGCAAGTAAAAAATGAACTTTCAATTACAGAGAGGAAAAAGTTTGATGTTAACATTTTGTAAATCTCTATGCCCTAAATAAAGTTATTTTGTGTGTTTGTGTATGTGTGTGTGTTTCCTGGATTCCTACCAACTTCTTGAAATCTATTGCTGGGAATTTCCTACAGTGAGTCAAACAATGAACTACAGGCTGGTAACTTCCCACTAGCATAGGGAGAAGTTTATATATTAAAGCACCTTAAGAGTTTAGGGCAAGACCTGGGTTTATCGCTCAGCTTGAGGCTACAGTCCCAAGACTGGCTTCTGTAGACTTCGGTGTAACAGTTGTTATTTGGGAATATATGTATAGCTCACTGTACTGATCAAACAGGAAACAGAGCCAGACTTTAATCTCAGAGACCCTGCAATACACAGGAGGAAACAACTTAAAAGTTAGTAGCTAGAATAAGGCAAAAGTGCTATGTTATAACAGAAGAGACTCTTTCTGACCTGGGAAAACAGGAAGTGCTTCATGCAGGAGGCAGTGTTTAAGAAGGTCCCCAACTCCTGGGGACCCATGAAGGTGGAGGTTAGTCACTGGAAGTTCCCGTTACTGGGAGACCCTGCAGAGCTACTGTGAGGGAGGGGAGAAGGAACTAGAGATTGAATTGGAATTCCCCTGAGAGGCTCAAAATGCCCAGGGAGGTCCTGGTCCTAAGAGATGACCCTTTTCTTCCTGCCCCACCTCTAACAAAGCTCATTTGGGCTAGAAGAAGAAGGCCTCAAGCCTCAACAGCAGCCCCTGTGGTTTCAAATCTTAAGGTCACAGAGGAAAATAAAAGTCCAGTAAACCAAGGGTGCTAGACCCTAAATACCTCTCATGGTTTCTTTCTCTCACCTTAGCCATGATCTTTATAGCAAAGACCTGATGTCTTTATAGCAAAGATGCTGCATGGTAGGGATTCAAATAATAAAGTAGACATACACATGATAATAGCTCCTTATCTGTGCCAGGTATTCAACCAACGGTAACTATTATCGCTTTCATACATCTTCTCATTTAATGTTCACAACTGCCTGGAGAGAAGTCAGCATTATGTCAATTTCACAGACCAGATTACTGAGACTAAACAAGGCAACAATAACAACCACAAAAACACTACTTGGAATTTTAACTGGGGAATGGCAGAGCCAAAATTCAAACTCATCTGTTTAACTTCAAGGCCAGTAGTGTTACTTGTTATACTGTTTTGTAAATAAGGTATGGTGTCTGTCTTCAATGAGCTCACAGTGCACAATTAAGAACAGATCCAGGCTTAGGGAACCTTGCTGGCTCAGTTGGTGCATCATGTGACTCTTGATCTCTGGATTGTAAGTTTGAACTCTGTACTGAGTGTAGGGACTACTTAAAAAAAAATAATAATAAATCCAGGCTAGGTTAAAAGTAGAACCACCATGGGGTGCCTGGGTGGCTCAGTCGGTTAAGCATCCGACTTCAGTTCAGGTCATGATCTCAAGGTTTGTGGGTTCGAGCCCCGCGTTGGGCTCTGTACTGACAGCTAGCTCAGAGCCTGGAGCCTATTTCAGATTCTGTACGTCCCTCTCTCTCTGATCCTCCCCTGTTCATGCTGTCTCTCTTTGTCTCTCTCTCTCTGAAAAATAAATAAAACATTAAAAAATTAAAAAAAAAAAAGTAGAACCACCATATGATCCAGCAATTCTACTACTGGGTATATATCTAAAGGAAATGAAATCACTACCTTGAAGAGATATGTACACTTCCATATTAATTGCAACATTGTTCACAACAGTCAAAACATGGAAACAACCTAAGCATCCATCAATGGATAAATGCATAAAGAAAATGTGGTATGTATATACAATGAAATATTTTTCAGCCATAAAAACGGGAAATCCTGGTATCTGCAACAACACGAATGAAACTGCAGGGCATTATGTTAAGTGAAATAAGTCAGACAGAGAAAGACAAATGCTATATGATTTCACTTATATGTGGAATCTAAAGAAGCCAAACTTATAGAAACAGAAAGTAGATGGGTGGTGGCCAGAGATTGGGGTTTGGGGATGGGGAAAATGGGGAGCGGTTGATAACAGGGTACTAACTTTCAGTTATAAGATAAATACGTTCTGAGAATCTAAGGTATAGCATAGTGACTACAGTTAATAATACTGTCTTGCATACTTGAAATTTGCTAAGAGAGTAAATCTTAAGCATTCATTTAAAAAATGGAAGTAACTATGGGGTGCCTGGGTGGCTCAGTCGGTTAAGTGTCCAACTCTTGATGTTGGCTCAGGTCATGATTTCACGGTTCATGAGACTGAGCCCCAAGTCAGGGTCTGAACTAACAGCATGGAGCCTTCTTAGGATTCCTCTCTCCATCTCTCCCTCACTTGTGCGTCTGTGTGCACGTGCACTCTCTCTCTCTCAAAATAAATAAGTAAACTTTATTTTAAAAAGTAACTATGGAAGGTGATGGAGGATATGTTAACTCAATTGTGGGAATCCTTTTATAATGTATATGTATATCAAATCATCACACTGTGCACTTTAATATTATATATGTAACATGTATTACAATTTTATTTCAGAGTGAAAGAGGGAGAATGAGAGAGAAAGTGAGAGAGAGATAGAGGGAGAGACGGGCGGGGGGTGGGAGGGTGCAAAAGACAGACTTCTCCTTTGGAAGTGCTAATGAGCATTTTTTTAAAACATTTATATTTGTTTATTTTGAGAGAGAAAGAGAGAGTGAGAGTACAGGAGAGGGGGAGAGAGAGAGGGAAAGGGAATCCCATGTAGGCTCCACTGTGAGTGGAGATACTGACTCAGGTCATGAAATCATGACCTGAGCTGAAATCAGGATCTGATGCTCAGCTGACTGAGCCACCCACGTGCCCCACGAATGAGTATTTTAACATAATTTGGGATAAAATGTCACAGAATTTTCAGTCCACCATATGTTTAGCCTAGTGTTGACTATTAGCAGATTAAACTACTTCAAGCATGAGAAAGTACATTTTACCTGGAAATGCCACACAAATATAAAGGTGAGTTATTGGATGACTTAACCATGAGTAGTATTTTCACAAATATTACCTCATTTTTTTTCTCTCAAAAATTTATAAGGAGGCAAAACAAATATTGTCAATAGTATTTTAAAGATATGAAGAACTGGGGCACCTGGGTGGCTTTTGATTTCAGCTTAGGTCATGATCTCCCAGTCATGGGATAGAGCCCTACATCAGGCTCCACACGGCATGGAGCCTGTCTGAAATTCCCTCTCTCTCTCCCTCCGTCCCTCTCCCCTGCTCATGCTCTCTCTCTCTTTCTCTAAAAAAAAGAAAGTTTAAAATGATATGAAGAACTGGGGTGCCTGGGTGGCTCAGTTGGCTAAGCGTCCAATTTTGGCTCAACTCATGATCTCACGGTTTGTGAGGTTGAGCCCCACAACAGGCTCTGTGCTGACAGCTCAGAGCCTGGAGCCTGCTTCTGATTGTGTCTCCCTCTCAGGCTCATGCTCTGTCTCTCTGTCTCTCAAGAATAAATAAATGTTGAAAAAAAGATACGGAGAACTGATTAAACAGTTATTAATCCTAGTCCTCTGATTTCCAGTATTTTTTAAATACTGGAATTATTTGGATAATAAATACTGTATAATAAATGTAATTATTATCAACAATGAATTTAACAATGATGTGGCACATGCACTTTTACCATTAAATTTCTTTGTTTCTATAAATCAAATAGGACTGGCTAGGGTACTTCTTAGGCCAAAAACCCAGCTCTCCCTCCCAAATACATCTCCCTTCTGGCTGCTTCTCAATCCCCATCGCTACAAGGCCACCACCAATTCTCACCTGGCTGGCTACATTCTCCACATAGGAGAGGTCTAAAAATGACAGATCACATCACTGTCCTGCCTTACAACCCTGTCTCTATTCATTTCTTATCCCATCTGGTCCCTGCTTCCTACTTCTCCCACCTCACTCCCCGACAGTCACACTTCCCTCTATCATTCCTAATTTGTTACAACCTCGGGGCCCTTACACTTGCTGCTTTCTCAGCTCAGAATATACTTTCTTCAGATGGTTCACAGCTTCATGTCCTTCACGTTTCCAACCAAATATGCACTGCACTTCCCTGAATCCTTATCTAAATGAACCTCCTCATCCCTGCTACTCCCTACCCCTCACTCTGTTTTATTATTTTACATAGAATTTAACATGGCTTTAAAGTTATCATTTGCTCATTTACTGTTTCTTCCCTCTCTAGAAGGTAAATTTCATGGGAGCAGGGACCTTGTTCACTGTTGTATCCTAGAATAGTGCTTAGGACACAAAAGGTATTTAAAAGGTATTTGTAGAATGAATGAATGGTCTGAACCATAAAGTGAGGTCTTGTTAGGGCCTCAGCCTCCATCTTGAGATGGAATATGGATCCAATAATGGAAAAAAAAAATGACAGATTTCGACCCAAAACACTCTCATTCTAACCTCAGGGTCCTTAGGGGCAGCGTGCTGGACTGGAATGAACATATAGGCTTTGGAGCCACAACCAGGTGGGAATTCTGGTTTGTCACTTGTTTTGGCTTTTACGCAGTATACTTCACCTCTGTGAGTCTCAGACTAGAATGACTTGAGCGAGAAATAAACTTTGATTGTGTTAAACTGTGGAGACTTGGAGGTTTTTACAATCACCACTGTTAATTACCCTAAATTAGGGTCATGCTTCTTGTTCCTCCCATGTGTCCTGAAACCCTCCTTTGCCCAGGCTTCTTTTCCTCATAAATTCCCTCTTCCCTGTCTCTTACCCCAGAACAGGAAACAAAAGGGGAATTTAATTTTTCTTCAACCTTTTACTGTGAAAAATTTCACGTCTTCAGAAAACTTGAAAGAAGAGTACAATTAACACAGGTGTACTTGTCACCTAAATTCACTAATTGTAGCAATTTTGCCATATTTGGGCTCTTCCTTTATCTTTCCCTCCCCCTCTCTCTCTCTCCAGACACACACACATACACAATAGCATCCTGATACTTCATACCTAAATACTTTATCATCTATCTCTTTAGAATGGACATTCTCTCATATAAACATGCCATTATTACACATAAAAGTTAAAGCATTAACCAAATGTCATCTAATAGTCCATAATCAAATTTCCCCTAAATAGAACTTATTTATAGAACTCATCTCATCCAAGATCCACCACATTTGGTTATGTCACTCTTTTAGAGTACTTTCCCTGCCTTTTGCTAGTTCTTTGTGACCTAGAAATTTTTGCAGACTCCAGGCCAGATCATTAAAGAATGTCCCACAGTCTGAATTTGTCTGATTGTTCCTTTACAATTAAGTTCAGGTTAGACATTTTTGGCAAGAATATTTCACAGCTTATTTACTGTGGTCCCATTATTGATGAATAATGCTAAATTTGATCGCTTCCTTTATGATAGTGTCCAATAGATTTCCCAAGGTAAAAATATAACTTTCCCCTCTGTTCTTAATAAGTAATTTGATATGAGAAATTTATTTTGAGACTGTGTGAATATCCTATTCCCAAAGCCTTTCTCTTAATGCGTTTAGCATCCACTGATGATCCCTTCTTGACTCAGAGACACTCACTCTCTCTCGCTCTCTTCATAGATACTTTTTAAATTCAAAGTTTTATAATCGAGTGCTACTCAGACTGAAGTTTCTGGATCAGCAGCCTCAGCAGTACCTGCAAGCTGCCTCGAAATGCAAACTCTCAAACTCCACTACCTATTACTCAGACTATCTGGGCCGGAGGGGGAATTTGTGTTATTATTTACATTGTTACAAATCATTTCTGTTTGTTATTCTTTTTGATGCTCAGATTTGCCCAGAAGAAGCACCTTCAAGCTAGCCACAGTGTTCTGTTGATATGCCCCTATTTGTCTTTGAGCACTTCCTTGTTCAGAAGAGCACTGAGTCACCTTGTACTTTCCCTACTTAGTTACCTCAGACCTGGAATTAACTGTTTCTCAGGCGTCCTGGTTCTTTTCACTGGGGAATGGTACTTAGAAATTTAATAATGAAGTTAGCTGTGCTTATTGTTACTGGATATCACTGTTTATAGGCCCATTCAGTAGAAAAAGCAAGGAAATATATATATATTTTAAAATAATACTGATACCTCCAAATTGAATCCATACCTTGGGTAAAATCCTCATTCCTATGTGTATCCCTTATCCTATAGAAAATATGTTACTCATTTGCTCTATGCTACAACACAATAAATTATTTTCAGAATCGCTGTCTCTAATAAACCCACTCAGGAAAGTTCAAGACTATTTTTTACTTCTTTCTGTCCTAATTGAGAGTGTCAGGCTCAAAAATTATTCGAATTGATTATTATATGGTAGATATGTTGATTTTAGGCTGATTTTTAAAAATATTTTTAAACATTACTTAATTTTTAATTTACATCCAAGTTAGTTAGTATATAGTGCAATAATGTTTTCAGGAGTAGATTCCAGTGACTCACCCAGCGCTCATCCCAACAAGTGTCTTCCTTAAAGCCCCTTGCCCATTTAGCCCACCCCCCACCCGCAGCCCTACAGCAACCCTCAGTTTGTTCTCTGTATGTAAGAGTCCCTTATGTTTTTTTCTCCTCCCTGTTTTTATATTATTTTTGCCTCCCTTCCCATATGTTCATCTGCTTTGTATCTTAAATTCCTCATATGAATGAAGTCATGATATTTGTTTTTCTGACTGACTTATTTCACTTAACATAGTACCCTCCAGTTCCACCCATGTTGTTGCAAATGGCAAGATTTCATTCTTTTTGATTGCCAAATAATACTCCAGTGTGTGTGTGTGTGTGTGTGTGTGCGCGCGCGCGTGCACGAGCGCGCGCCACATCTTATCTTACCCATTCATCTGTCAGTGGGCATTTGGGCTCTTTCCATACTTTGGTTACTGTCGATAGCACTGCTATAAACATTGGGGTGCATATGCCCTGATTGTAGACTGATTTTTGCAACTTGTATTCAGTTTTTAAGATTTGATTTCTTTATCTTTGAATTTATAGAAAAATTGCATGCCTTAAAAGTAAAAGGTATATAAAAAGGTAGTCCATATTCATTATTATGTTAAAGAAGAAAGCCTTTACAATACAGTACAATAAACTGATTCTCATACATCTTTCCTCAAGTTACATGTAGGTGATATTGTATTTTTAAATCAGGTTGGATTTTCTTTCACTTTAAAACATTTTGAAAGTATTTTTCCACTTAAGTTCAATGTATCTACTGTAGTTGCTTATTAAAGGGAATCATAAGAGACTGCAGTGACAAAATACCATCCTCTATTTACCAGAGGATAAGCTTTATTATCTAGTTATTTTTTTGCTTTTTATAAAATAAAAGATACATTTTACACTAATCTTAAATTTTAATCTTATGTAAAAATACACTAATCCTAATTTGTGAAAATAAAACCCACATATCTATACACACACAAATAAACTTAGATAGAAAACATAACACATATCAAAATGTTTGGGTGGTTGCATTCTAGATGGCTAGAATTCCTTATAGTTCTCATTATTTTCCAAATTTTGCCACTTATTTGCCAATGAGTGTGTGCCATTTTTATATTCAAGGAAAAAAACACTATTCTTCAAAAGAGCTATTTAATTATCATAGTCTATACATAACATGAGTGAATAATACATGGCCCTAAAACTGTCATTTCAAATACACTGAACTAAAGTAAGAAGAAATTCTTTTAAAGCCCAGAAATAGCACAATGTACAGACACATGAGGGTATTGTAACCAAGTTTTCATAATTTAAGAAAAACACTCAGAAACCAAAAAACTAAACAGCTAACATGTACTGAACACTCACTGTAGTCCTGCTTTTGTTCTAAGCATTTCATGTGTATTTCCACATTTAATCTTTACATTAACTCTATAGAATAGTAACGTCATTATCCTCATTTACAGAGAAGAGTTTTGAAACTCAAAGTCATCCAGGCACCTAAAATCATGGAAAGCATTTACAGTGGTCTTTTGTATATGACTAAGGCCTTACTGTCCATTGTTTGGTGAGAATTCCAACCTGTACCTCTGTGCAAAGGTTTAATTCTCTCTTAAGCCATGGCCTACTTGTTATTCTCAAGTGATCTCCTGCCGCTCTACTCAGAGCCTAAGAACAGCTGTGGAACAGAGAATGGCTATTTAACAAATTTTAGTTTTTCAATAGAAATAGAAAGTTTGGAAAATAGGAAAATACAACTCTTTATCAGCATTTCCTCCCAGTCTTCCTTTTCTTCAGTGTGTGTATATATTCAATACATCTTTTTTGATAGTTCGGTAATTTGCTTTTTTCATCTTTCATCACATTCACATGTTACATATATCTTTATCATATTATATACTTTTCAGAACCATCAATTTTCAGTGTTACATCATTTTCTTTTTTTAACGTTTTTTTAAATATATATTTTTGAGAGAGAGAGAGACAGAGTGTGAGCAGGAGAGGGGCAGAGAGAGAGAGAGGGAAACACAGAATCCGAAGCAGAGTACAGGCTCTGATGTGTCACCACAGAGCCCAATGTGGGGCTCGAACCCATGAACCATGAGATCATGACCTGAGTCAAAGTCAAACGCTTAACTGACTAAGCCACCCAGGTGCCCCACTGTTACATTATTTTCAATGAAGTAGATATACCATTGCTTAATAATTTCTCTAGTATTGGTTTTTTAGGTTACAGCCAATTTCACATGTAACTAATTCAGCAACAAACACCTTCTTGTGAATACTGATACCTTTTCCCATATTTATTGCTTAATTCAGCAAATGTTGCCTGAATACCTAATAAGTACCAGAGACTGTATTAGGTGCTGGGTTTAGGATTTTTTTCCCCTAGGGTAATATTTCAAGGATGAATAGTTTTATGCCTCAATACATACTGGCACATGGCTTTCTAAAATGTCAGAATCAGGGGCACTTGGGTGGCTCAGTTGATTAACTGTCCAACTTCAGCTCAGATTCTGATCTTGCGGTTCACAAGTCTGAGCCCCATATTGGGCTCCGTGCTGACAGCTCAGAGCCTGGAGCCTGCTTCAGATTCTGTGCCTCCCCTCTCTCTCTGCCACTCTCCTGCTCATGCTCTGTCTCTCTTCCTCTCCCTAGAAAATAATTTAAAAAATTAAATAAAATAATAAAAATTAAAAAAAAATTAAATGTCAGAATCAGGTTATTCTAAGTGAATTCTTTAAAAAGAAGGAAAAAAGAGGTGCAAAACTTTGAGTCATTAGATGACTGATGACTACAGTATTATGTGTCGAAGACATCAAAATAAGTAAATAAGTTCGTAGATTTCAAATCATTTATGACAGGAAAAAATTAATGCCAATATTTATGGTAGTTTTTGCCTATGACTCAAAATACAGACACAATAAAAGAAAATAGATAAATTCAACCACATAAAAATGAAAATTGTGGCAAACATAAACAAAATCAAAATACAAATATCAAACCGGCAGTTTATTTCTGCAAAGTATATCATAGATAAGGGTCTTATGTTCCTCATATAAAATAACACTTAAAAATGAAAAAAACTCTATAGAAAAATGTACAGAAGACATACACTTAACAATAAATGATATTCAAATTATTCCTAAGCAAATGAAAAAATCATCAGCTTTACTACTAGAGAAATGTAAATTAATACTACATTTAGATACCATTTCTCACCTATCTTGTTTGCAAAAATGTATATAAATTTGATAACATATTCTGTGATTATGTTGGTGAGATTGTGGAATAAAGGATAATCTCATCCAGTGCTCATGGAAATGCAAAATGATATAACTTCTGTGGAGAATTTGGCAATATCTAATAAAGCTTCATTTACATTTACCTTTTGATGTAGGGATCTCACTGGTTGGAATTTTCCCTGAAGATACAAAACCACAAATCTGAAACAACATAAGTACAAGGTTATTCACTGTGACATTATTTGTAATAGCAAAATATTGGAAATAACCTAAATGTTCTTCCATAGGAGATTGGCTTAAAAAAAAAAGTATACTCCCAAAGAGAAATACTACTTAACCAAACTAAACAATGGAAAAGAGGGACATGCCAATAGAAAACTACAAGGATTAAGTGACAATGATACCCCATCAGCAATGTGTACACCTAAAGCCCAGATCTTGGTTTCTAAATATTATAGCTCACTGAAAGGAACCAGAGCTCCTTGGAGAAATGACAGTTCAGATCTAGGGCAGGTAAAGTACAAGGTGAGCCTGAAATATCTTGTGCAAGGAAATAAGAAAAAACTCAAAGGCTGATGGAAATAAGTCAGAGGTTACAGGAATGGCTTACAGAGACTCCCACTGGACAAATCTGAGACAATCTAAGCAACAAAAAAAAGAATATAGATGGTAATGAATTATAACACATTGAATACGTAAAAACAAAAGCTGTAAGTTAATTATGGTATTCATAAAAACACAAGAAGATGAAAAGGAAACGGTATAGGGTGGGAGAGAGGAAAGCTCTTTTATACAGAAAAATGTAGAGGACATGATAGAATTGGAAAACCACTACTTTGCAACTGCAAAGTAAGAACTCACCTTGGGTATAACACTTAACCTGTTTGTATTATAAGATCACAAGGTGATTTCCTGAAATATCTTCTGGGTCTATATTTGATCTAGGATTAACAGACTTTGAAATGGAAAGCCTCAATCAGATAAAGGAAAAGCTATAGGATCCTTACTTTAGTATGTTTTTTTTTCCTTTCTCAGCAAAGCTGAAAATCACTATTAACTAGTCCAATAGGAGCAGACCTCCAGTTTCCTAACCCTGAATTATTTTTATCTTTTGTCATGTAGCTCCAAGCTATATTGGAATTACCCACTAAAGAAGGCTTCATCATAAACAAAATCAAAAAACAAATGTCAAACTGGGAGTTAATACTTGTAATATATGTCATAGGTAGAAGTCTAATGTCCTTAACATAAATATTATACTGTTTGTATAGTTATTATATATTGTTAAAGCGGTGGAGAAAAAAAAAATCCCGTTTTAGTCTGTTGAGCCAGATAAAGTGTCCCAACTCCAGCTTAAAGGACAGATTTTCTGAGGAAATTTAAACCTCCCAACACTCCTTAATCTCTAAGAGACCAGGATAGAGGGTAGAAGTTCATAATAAAGCTGCTCCAACTCAAGATACAGTCTCCACAGCTCGCACACCCACTTCATCCTGCCATGTCTGTCTTGTCAGTCCAGTGTACACCTGTTGGCATGGTGTAAAGGTTAGTAGTACTCCCTTTCACTCTCGGAAGTGTCTAAGTTTGGACCATATGTGGTTTCCCTACTTCTAGGAGACCCCTGATGCTTCTGAGGAAAGACTTCATTTGGCTGATGTTGAAGGGTACATGCCAAGCTAGAGGGAAGAGCAAGAAAAGACTCTGGAATTTGATAAACAGAATAACAGTCCTCCAAAGATATCCTTGTCTAGTTCCTGGAACTGTCAATATGTTAGTTTACATACCAAAAGGGAAAAGTGATTAAGTATGCTGAGATGGGAAGAGTATTCTGGATTATCCAGATGAGCCCAATTGCACGGATCATTAAAATTGGAGAAAGCTTCCCAGCTGAGTTCAGAGTTAGGGGGAGATGTGACTATGGAAGAATGCTCAGAGAGATGCAACATTGGTGGCTCTGAAGGTGGAATAAGGAGACCACAAGCCAAGAATACAGGCAGCCCCCTGTGGCTGGAAAAAGTAAGGAAACAGATTCTCACCTGTAGCCCGCATAAAGGAATACACCCCTTGCCAACGCCTACAGAACTGTGGACTACATTAAAAACTGGGTGAGAAAGTGTACATTCAGATGGAGACCTGCATGTGTGACTGGTAGCCTGCAGCTGAGATTTCTACATTTTGACCTCAACTTTACCTGGGTAAGATCTGCAATTCTTGGCTTCAGCCCTTTTGATAAGTACTCTGTTTCTCCTCTGGGTGGAGGCACTAGGAACCCAGCTAGAAACCAGAACTGGTTCCTGCTTTGGGGTGGACGGACAGACTCAGCATAGGTGAGGACATTGTAAGGTACTCTACATCCAGTACCTCAAAAACATTCCATGAGTAAGATATGATTACACTCCTTCTGTAGTGAAGAGAATGGTTAGACTATCTAGGATACAGCTCTGCTGTGTAACCTCGTGCAAGTTCCCCTCGGGGCCTTTGGCCCTTTGACCTTGGTCCTTTGACTTTGAAAAGTCACTTCGAAAGGTGAATACTACCTATTCAGAGGGTTGTGAGGATTCAGGGGTGGTGGAAGGCCCGAGAGTTGTGAGAAGACCAAGCGAAGACAGCGCACGAACCCAGGCCTCCCCTCACACCGGCTGGAGGCCCATAAACCCAAGAAGGGGTGAGGCCCACAGGGTGAGATGACATCACGGCACATCCCCTCCGTGCACCTGGTGCGGCCCCGAAGCGAAGAGAAAAACTAGTCGAGGTGCAGGACTCTCACCTGACGTCACGCCTTTCCCAACTTCCGCCGCGCGCCGACACCAGCACTCGCGCAGTCTCTCTCCGCGACGTTGCCGAGTTTGTCGGAAGCTGGTGGGCGGGAGCTGCCGGCGGATGTGGAGAATGGTTGGGCTTGCGTGGTGTCAGTGTGCCATCAGCTTGTAGTGACTGCCGGCTTTGGCCTCCGTGAAGGGGCCGTTTCTGGATCGAGGGGATGCAGTGCCTAATGATTGCACCGAGACCACATGCAGTAGGGTTTGGAGAGTTCCCCAAGGCAGTGTAGGAGGGGTAATAAAAGAACATGATCTCATCCAGATTTCTTTAATGTAATATACACGTGCTGCCTGTACTCTTTTCCTATCCACTCTTCAACCCATTTTATCTGTTAAAAATTGTTTTTAAAACATAAAATCACATAAATATATTTGTGTGCAAACGTGTCAAAGAGTTTATAAAATTAACACGTGTCAAAGAGTTTAATTAATGAGGAACTAGTATGACGTTGCAAAGAATCCTAAGAACCACATAAATAGGATGAAAGGTATTTTATTTTATTTTTTAAATGCTTTTTATTTTATTTCTAAGAGAGAGAGAGAGACAGCATGAGCAGAGAAGGGTCAGAGAGAGAGGGAGAAACAGAATCCGAAACAGGCTCCAGGCTCTGAGCTGGCTGTTAGCACAGAGCCTGAAGCAAGGCTCAAATCCACGAACATTGAGATCATGACCTGAGCGGAAGTCGGACGCTTAACCAACTGAGTCACCCAGGCGCCCCAGGATGAAAGGTATTTTAAAATTAATTTTCACCTCTCCTACTTTCCCTGGATACAGTGGGTCCTCAAATTCTATTGACTCAACTTCCAAAGTTGGATAAATCTCTCCATTTTCAGTCATACTGAGCTGAAGTCTTCTCCAGATTGTACTACTACTGCCTTCCAATTGGCCTCACCCCCCCCACCCCCACGAAATCCATTCTCCAAACAGCTTCCAAAGTGTTTTTATAAAACAAACAACAAAAAAGTATGACCTAGATTATGTTGCTCCCTTTCTTTTAAGACATTTTTTAATGTTTGTTTATCTTAGAGAGAGAGAGACAGAGCAGGAGCACAGGAGGAGAGTAGAGAGAGAGAAGGAGACACAGAATCTGAAACAGGCTTCCAGCTGTGCACTGTCAGCGCAGAGCCTGAGTGGGACTCAAACTCACAAACAGAGAGATCATGACCTGAGTCAAAGTAGGAGGCTTAATCAACTTGAGGCACCCAGGTCCCCCTATATTGCTCCCTTTCTTAAAGTCTACCAATTGGTTCTCCATTATTCGGAGATTTAAATCCACACTCCTTATGCTTGCTTATAAAGAACTACTTGATCTATGTGTGGCTCTTTACCTACCTCATCTACCATTTTCTGTCTCGTTACTATGCCTCAGAGCCCTGTGCTTGGAATGCTCTTTTCTCTGAATTTTGCAGTCTTCATCTTCAGAGCCCATCTTCAGATCTCATGCCTACTCAGAGAGGCTCCCCCAGATCTTCCATTCTCAATCTTTGTATTTAAAATTTTAAATCTCTGTACAACATGATTACTTTGATATACCCATTTGTTTACTGACCATTTCACCACCCCTAATTAAAATGAAAGTATGTAAATTCAAGAAGAAAAGTCCTGATTTACACTGTTTATCACTGTATTTTCAGTGGTAGAACACTAAATGAGTTCAGCACATTACTTATTTCTTAGTTTCAACTTTATAATTTAATTTGAGTGGTTAATTGTCATAACAAAAGGTATAGTAATTTAAAACAAGTGTTTGGGAAGATTTGCTTACAAAATATATCTAGTTATTGTATATGAAAAAGGAGTGAAAGAATATGTCTGAGCTTTATTTCCAAAAGATATTATCAAATATTTTCTTTTCAAGGATTCTAGAAGTCTTTTACTCTTTTAATTGTGTAAGTCAATTATAATCTAGAAGAATTCTGGGGTGATATTTCAAACAAAATTTCTTGGAATGAAACATTAAAAACTTCACTTCTTTAGTTATTTGCTTGGAGCAGGGTCTATGTTGGATGCTGGATAATTCCAAATAAACCTAGTGAAGGTGACATTTGAGTTTGGGCCTTCAATATGAGTAAAGTGAGAATATGGGTAGATGAAAAGGAGAAAAACTGGCATTTTAGGCAGAGGTATATATTCAGGACATGTTTTGGAGAACAGAATATAAATGAAATTAACTGGAAGGGTAGATAGAAGTCAAACCATCAAGGGTTATAAAGTTCAATTTGGATCTTACTCCATTCAGGAAGCCAACAGATTTTAAACTCAACTGTGACATGGTCCTCTGTTGGTAGTGTTGTTATAATAGATGACATTATGACTAATTGAGCAACATTAGTTATGTAAGAAAACCAAAATAAACGTTACATACTTCATGAAAATCAATTTTTGTAGTAGTAGGTGATTAGAAACAAAAGAAGTTTCTAGTAAGCCTTAGAATTGTACATTAAAGCTAAATGAGATATTTTAAAAGATGTATTTACTTCTCAGCAATCATTTATGGGACACTAATCATGACTCAGGAACATAGTAGGGGCAGGGGTTGTCCAAGCTATTTTCAGTATTTCCAGAAAACAGGTTAAGTGTGCATTTCACCCCAACAAAGCTGAGTAGCGTTGAAACTGCTTAAATGCATAGAAGTTGAACAAAAATCAAATCAGTGGCTTCAGTGAAGCTCAATCTTAAACTCAGTAGTGTTTAAGATTTAAACACTAGTAGTGTTTAAGTCTCTTCTGCAAACCTCCCCTTCTCTTTTCTTAGTCTTTTGTTTCAGGAACCTCGTACCACCCTGAAGACATGACAGATGAGGCTGACAATTCCTGTGAAAACCATCTAGATCCTGTATAACCCCCCTATGTTTTGCTATATCGACCCCCAGCACCTTTCTCCTGGCGGACCTGTAGTTTAGAGAGCTTTAGCCTGCAGCAGCTCCTTCACCCCGCAAAGCAGTAAAACTATTGATCTCCTTTATCCCAAGCTCTGTCTTCGTGTTCGTTATATTTTGACTCCAAAACACAGAGGTCAGTTTCCAACGGGGTGATTAAAATTTCATGTTTATTTGCTTTGGCTTGGAATTTATAGGAATTCATTATGGGAACACTGATAATCTTAGATAGACGAAAAACTCTGATGGGATACTATAGATATCTGTTTTCTTCAAAGACAAAATAAACTAAAATTTAAAGTAGTTTGCTCAAAAAAATTCTTAGAATGTGGAAAAGCCCATGAAGGGATGAGGAATATGCAGCAGAGAAAAGTAGTTACATTCAGATCCCACCTTTACACAGTCTCTTTTACATCAGAAGCCAAACCTGCTTCTCCTCGCCTGTTTTTCCTGGCCCAGTGATAGCTCTACCATTCATTCACCTACAAACCCCAGAAGCCTGGCGTGTTTCTCAATACCCTTCTCAATCTATTCCTCTTATTTAATCACATATCAGATGATTGACTCTACCTCTGAAACTCTTCCAGAATTTTACCCTCTCCTCTATTCACACAATTATGGCCTTGCTTGGTATTGTAGGAAACAACATTCCTTTACCACATTAAGGCTTCTTCCTTTGTTTTGCAGAATAAGTAGAATTAACTGTAGATGGACTGTTGAGCAAACCAAGGTCTATGTGACCCTGTCCCAAAAGGTAAATTATGATAATGCAATAGGGAAGAAAACATGTCATATCTGTCCAATTCGTATAAGGTGTCCTTCTATATCCAAGAGTTATACTTGCTTAGCTATTTCGTTTTTTATGAGAAAAGAGGGAGGAATGTGGCTTTCAGTGTCCCAAAAGTAATTTGTGATTGGTTATCATAATTGAATCTGCCTAAAGTGATATAAACAAGTGTGATGGGATGTCACCACAGCCTCACCATTCCTGCCTCAAAAAAAGTTATAATGTGGTCAGAACACTTCCCTTCTGGGCAGTTGGGCCTGGTGGTGTTCATACAAAACTGCAAGTGATAACTATTGGTTAGCATTGTCTTGGATACTGATGGGGTTCAGGACACCCTACACCAAAATATGGCACATTAGCATATTGAATGCTTTATTTTATTTTGAGAGGGGGTGAGCAGGGAGAAAGGAAGAGAGAGACAGTCCCAAGCAGAGATTCTGTGCTTGTCAGTGCAGAGCCCCATGCAGGGCTCAGTGTCATGAATGGTGAGATCACGACCTGAGATGATATCAAGAGTCAGATGCTTAAACCAACTAAGCCCCCAGGCGCTGCTAGCATATTGAATATTTTAAATTGAAGGAGGTTAAGAAAACAGCAGATGCAGGAAAGTCATTTTGACACCCCACCCACCTCTTCTTTCCGGAAACAGGTCATAAAACCTTTATGAGAGATGTCCCTCCTTATACCCGGAAAGGAGCATTCTTATCTCTGATGACAAAGGGACACAGAAGAATCTGACTGAACAGGCCTTGCTAAGTTTCCCATTGTTTACAACATTTACCTCGTAGTCTGACCTATCATATTTCTTCACGACTACCTGCTCTTCATCAGCCTGGCATAAAAAGACTCAAATACTCAGAATCAACCCTTTCTTTGGATCTTCATTTTCTTATGAAGGCTCCATGTCCTGTAAAACTTACCTTAAATACATTGGAATGCTTTTTTCCTGTTAATCTGTCTTTGTAGTTTTCATTTGCAGATCCAGGAAGGAATCCTAAGTGGGTCAATGAAAACTTTTTTCCTCACCTAAAATGAGTAATAAAGGTAATGCTTAAAAACCCCCAAAACCTTCAGCTTATTCGTGTCCTGAAACTAACATCTCTTTGAATTAGAAAAATCAGAGTAAAACCTAGCTTGGTGAGGTGGAAGTCTAATTGCCTACCCAACAGCTATTTTTCCTCTTTCTCTTATAGTATTTGACATATACTCAAACTAAAAAAATTCATTACCTGAAACTCAAATTTAAATGGAAATCCTGTGCTTTTATTTGGCAACCCAAACATTGATATATCCATATCCAACAGTCATATTCCTCAGTAACATATACTTATGTAAATATATTCAGATTAGCAAAGA